TCCTCTGCACTGGCCCCCAAGTCCTTCTGACATGTCCCCTCACTCTCAGAGCCCTTCCTTGCTTTCTGGTACAAGAGAATGATTCCACGCTCATTTTACACTTTTTTCCTCCAGCCCTGGAAGCAGCCGCTTCTCCAAGGAGCTCTAGTTCCTTAAAGCAGAAACTGGATGCTAAGTATGATGATTGCTACGGGGAGGTCACTACCCCCAGGCCCTCTTAGTGGACTGGGCTAGGATATACACATATGCACTTGTGTACATGGACGCACACACGTGCACATGCTCACACACGGATGCATGGGTGCACACATTCAGATATGTGTGCAGTTACATACATGGGTAGACATGTGCATAAGCACATGGATACACACATGTGCAGTTACATATGTTACTGATGCACACATTTATATATATGAACACACACAGCTACATACACGGATGCACATGTGCATGTGGAAACAGACTCATAGGCACACACATAAGGACATACACAGCTACATGCATGCACACACACAGATGCAGGCACACAGTTACATATAGGATGCACACATATACATGGATGCATATATGCATACACATGGATGCACACATGCACACACAACCATACACGAACATAGGTGTGCAGTTATATACAGACACATGTGCACAAATACATACACAGATGCATGCACTCACACATGCAGGTGCACATGCATACACACATAGATACATGTGCACACATACAGATGCATGTGCACACATAAACAGGAGGGTGTACACATACTCCTACAGACATATGTGCATTCAGATACACCGACACATGCACACACACATACCCAGACACAAGTGTGCACACACAGACGCTCACAAACAGATGTACATGTGAGCACATGAACACGCGTTTACATACACAGACACACACAAACATACAGACACATGCACACATACATACAGATGTGTGTACATACGTACACAGATCCATGTGCAGACATGGACATGCACACACAGATGTGTACAGAGACACATGGAAATGCAGAGACACATACGTGGGTGCATGTGCACAAATACATGGATGCACACCTGCACACCCTCATACATGGCTGGACATGTACACACAATACACTGGCACACATGCACACACTAACTACATGTATACACATGCATAGATGGAGACACACACACACTTCTCCAGAGATGCACATGTACACACACTTTCATACATGGATGCATGTGTGCCCACTTATAGGGATGTATACACA